TGGTAAACAGGAACTCGAGAAAAAATTTTTTAAAATAAAACTGCAAAAAATTCCAATTGTTTATAACTTTAACAAAAAAAATTTTTTTGACGTAAAAATTTCAGGGACTTATTTTTACCATGTAAGGAGTCAAAAGAAATGATTTTTGATTAAAAAAAAAATTTCTGAATTTTAGGTGATCCGTTTGAGAAATTCTGACCCTATTTAAACTTTTATTTAGGCAAATTTTTTTGGTACATTTTCTATTAAACTAAACTTTAATTTTGCATAATTTTCATATAGCTTAATTGCTATTTAAGGGAAGTTTTATTTGGCTAAATTTTTATTGATCAAATTTTCAATATTAAAAAAATCTATTTCTTTGTACACAACTTCCATTTAGCCGATTTTTTATTTGACAAAATAGTAATGTAATTATAATGTGAATAATAAAATGTAAACATTTCAATTTTAGAATGATTTAAATTTCTCGCACAAATTAACTACTTTACCGACAGTTCATAGATTCGAAAATAGTTATGTTGGTGCACTGTGCCTTGAATTGATATAAATAAACTATTTTATAATACGATTTCGTTTTATTATAAATTCTACTAAATGGAAATAAGGAAAAATAAAAATTCTACTGTAATTTGATTTAAATAAATTGTTTCATAATTTGTGTCTAGAAAAAAAATAATTTTACGATTTCACTAGACTGAGTGGCACGAAATTTAAATTATATGTTTTCGCTTTTTTAGAATTACGAAGCAATTTTTCAAAGCAAGTATATCTAACGATAAAGAAATTATTTTTAGTACTTTTTTCTTTAATTTATCCTGTGTATATATGTATATTCGTATAATATTCTAAATATATTGTTAAAAGATTATAAATTCTTTTTATTCATGATAATTTCTTTAAAATTATAATCTAAAAAAATGAAAAATATGTTAATTATAATAAATGCAAGTTGGGTTAAATATAAATACTGTTAAAGAGAAATTCAGCCAAATAAAAATTTTGTAAAATATAAATTTAGTTTTATGTAAATTCTGCTAAAGATAAATCTGGCCAAATATAAAGTCGAGTAGAAAATGGAAATTCGTTTTAATAAAAAATTCTGCTAAAGAGAAATAAAAAAACGGTATAAAATAAAGAAAATTTGGTTAAATATAGAAACTTTGCCAAAATGGAATTAGGCTAAATAAATATTTAATTTAATAGAAATTCTGCTAAAAAGAAATAGGTATGAAATGAAAATTCGGTTAAATGAATATTCTGCTCAAAAGCAGAAATAAAATAAATTAAAAATTTTACTAAACGGATATTTGGTTCAAATATAAGTTTAACTAAAACTAAATATGGCTAAATAAAAAATCTGCCAAATGAAAATTCAGTTTTATATAAATTCTTCTAAAAAGAAATTAGGCTAAATAAACAATTTTCCCTTATAATATTTAATCTACTGAAACTTCAGCCCAATTGTTTGTATGTAATTGTATTTTTTTTATAGTAAAATTTTTGAATCTATGATGGGCCAACAAAAAAAATTTTGTTGGTATATAAGCAACCAAACTATTTGGTTGAGTGTTTTTTGTTAGGTCAACAAAAATGTTTGGTTGATCAAACAAACAGTTTTTTTTTGTAAAATTAAAAATTTTATTTGACCTTATTTCTTTTCTTTTTATCTTTTTTATTTATTTCATTATTTATTTATTATCAATTTGACATTGAATTTATATTTATCCAATTGAAATATTTGTGGACTTTGAAAAATCTCATCTCCGCCTGGGAGCTGAAAGCGAATCAATTAAATTATTTGGTTTTTGCAACCAAATTTTGGTTAGGACAACAAACGATCATTTGATTTTTTAGACCAAACTATTTTGTTGTGTTAACCAAATTATTTTGTTGTCGTAACTAAATTTCTATTGGAATTTAAAAATGTTCAACCAAATAATTTGGTTGGCCGAACCAAATGTTTGGTTGAGATAACTCTACGACTTTGTTTCAGCCAACCAAAATTTCGTTACAAGAACCAAAATTGCCTAATCAAACAATTTTGTTACAAACACTAAATTTTTTTTTCTCAGTGTAGATTGAGATGAACCCTTCCTGAGTTATATGTCTTTAGAATTATTGTAGACGATTGTTAGCATACAATTGATTCGTGTTGACCCAATATTGCAAATTGAAATTGATCAAACATATGTCCTCGGGGTCAATAAAACACAGGAGACAGTTCAAGTGTTACTAAGTTATAAGTTGACAATTGTCTGACATTTCGACTCATATATATACGATTTAAACATTTTAACTTAATTCACAAGTTCCTAAGCTAAAAATTGTTGAATTAAATTATAAATTACTTAATTTTATTTATATATCAAAAATACAATTATTATAGTCGGCTTTAACTCACTTGGAAAGATTCCCCGGAAAGTGCCCCCTGGAGGTTCTATCAGAATTCCGCCGGAACTTCCAACGTAATTCCGTCGGAATTCCATCGGAGTTCCAAAGAATTTCCGATGGGATTCTGACGGAATTGAGATAAATTTTTTTCAAAATTTTTAGAGTCCTAATTCCGTCGAATTCCGGAGAATCTTTCCAAGTGGAAAGTTTAAAAAAAAAAATTTTTTCTTGAATTTTTTTGTGCTTTAACCTCAAAATGGGTATACTATAATAATTCCACGATTCTTCTATATGCTGATGGGAAAGAAATTTGTCTTTTTTTTTTAAGGCGGCTAATTTCACTTAACATCATCTCATCATCTCCACGTGTAGCTCAACTACAAAGTAACATTCCATCACTCTCAGTTATATTCCGCAGGTACAAAAAGTAGTTTCTACATGGCTCGTTCTGACAAGCTGTTGTGGTCGACAGAAGTTTCCCCGTTGGGAGATTGCCGCGTTCGCATCATCAAAAATTCGACGACGAAAACGATATGATTCTCTCTCTCTCTCTCTCTCTCTCTCTCTCTCTCTTTCTCTCGACCCGCATTTCATTTATTGAATCAATTTCACGAAACTAAACTCCACACAATATCGTTGGTCCAGCAACATATATATATATATATACTCACTAATCATTTATTTAAAAGGCGCTGACTCATGTTTCTGAAAATTGAAGCAAAATTTTTCCTTATTGGTGGCAATAAAAAAAAAATTAATTTAATTAATTCTTTTTCCTATATCTCGATTTCAAAGAAGGGAAATTTTTTAAAATTTATCAAATTAGATATGGAGAAATAAGTTTAAAAAATTTTTTTTTACGAATTTCGTTGTTAATAAACTGTATTATGTAATACAGGATTTCTATAATGGAATACCTGGAAATGTCAAGGAATTTTATTGTGCTTCTTAAAATCATATGGAAATGTCATGAAATTTTTTTTTAAAATCATTAAAATTATTGATGATGTAACAGAATTTTCAATTTTCAAAAATTTTAATTTGATAATATTTTCGCGTAACTGAATTTTAATTTTTGTTTGTTTGTTTTTTTAATCAAATTGTTATTACAAGCCTCGGATTTTAAGACTTTTTTTCGACTTATTTTACAAAATAAAATTAAAAATTAATTAACTTATTAAATTTAAATTAAAATACCTATGACTTTTTTATAGTAAAACCGTTGTACCTATCTTTTTAAAAATATAATTATTTTAAAAATTTGAATCTTAAGTCTTTGCGAAAATTAATTATTTTCAAAAATTATTTAATAATTCAAATTTATAAAAAATTTAAATTTAAAATCCCCTGAAATTAAATTAATTCTAAGACCAAATTGATTTTAAATCAGGCAGGCGGAAACGTCGTTTATCTAAAATTTAGAAAAAAAAACTTTAAAGTGTTATAACTTTTAAAGTAATTTAGATGTCTCATTTTTTTTTTTTTTTTTTTTTTTTTTTTTTTTGATTTGAAAGAGCTTTCATTTTCCTTTCAAAATCCGTTGGAAAAAATTAAAAAATGTTCAAAACTAACAAAATAGCGGATATTTTAATAAAATAATTTAAATTTAATTCACACAAAAAATTTTTTAGCAAAAATAAGTGGGGTTTTTGAGTAATTTAAATTTAAATTATTTTATAAAAATATCCGCCATTTTGTTATTTTTGAACATTTTTTAATTTTTTCCAACGGATTTTGAAAGGAAAATGAAAGCTCTTGCAAATGCAAAAGGAAAAAAAATGAGACATCTAAATTACTTTTTATAAAGTTCTAACTTACTTATTTATTTGATTCAAATAAATTTTTATTTGATTTAAATAAAAAGTGTTATTTACGCCAAATAAATATGCTAGCAGGCTGCGAGACAAATATACGTTTATTTAACTCAAATATATTATATTTGGTTCAATTTCAAATAAAACATTTCTCTAGGTGTGTATATATTTATAGGTACTCTAAAATGGTCAAAAATTAAGGTTTTTTTTTACCACCTTGTACATTTTTAGGACCCAAATAATACAATAAAGAAAATACAACATCGTGCGATCATTAATATTTAAAGGGGTCAAAATAAAGATGGTGCCCCCCCCCCTTAATAAAAATTAATTTCAAACAATTTTAGAAGATTTAGTTATACAATTTTCGAAATTGAAAATTTTTATTTGTCCAAATTATAGCTTTTAAAAGAAAATTTTTTAAACCCGCATTAATTTTTACATAATTTGTCTTTGAATAAAAATTTATTAAAAAATTAAAAGAATTTTTTTCATCAAATTTTTATTTAACCAAAATTTGCGCATTTAACAAAATTTTTATTTGATCAACGTCTCATTTAGTCAAATTTTCATTTGATTAATTTTTTCATTTTTTATTTATTTTTTTTTTTAATCGGTCTTTTATTATTCATGAAAAATATATTAATTTGACCCTAGAAGTCGTCATGAAAAACTGATGGAATTTGGGAATATAAATTTTTTTTCTATTGAAACCTTGTAAACAGTTTTGATCAATATGATAATTGAAATGTGAAAAATTACATATTATTTTTTTTTTCATGTGATTTGCAGATCAATCGTGACCCGAACATCTTGCCAAATGTGAGACTGGTGATGCGATGGAGCGACACGCGAGGAGAGACAATCGAAGCAACAAAGGCGATGATCGACATGATCTGCGACGGAGTGGCCGCTTTTTTTGGTCCAGAAGGTTCCTGTTACGTCGAGGCCACTGTCTCTCAATCCCGCAACATACCAATGATCAGCTATGTGAGTTTCGGTTCTTTTTATTTTTTAATTTTATTCTAATATTTGCTTATTAAGATGTTAGTCTCCTTTATATAGGGGAAATATAGTATTTAGTATTACTCTTTAAATGAGAATATTTCCCTCTAATTTCAAGAGGATCGAAACAAAAGGACTATTCTAGAGCATTCCTCTTATATTTAGAATAAAAATAATACTCTTAGAATTTAGAATAATCTTCTATGTTTAAAAATATTCCTCTAAATTCTAAGAGGAATTCCCATAGAAAGTCGCTCATGCGCAAAGATGATTGCGTCATATCATTTACGTCGCGTCATAAATCGCATATCATGCGTGAAAAAGTTTTAGTTTCTGTGTGAAAAAATGGGAATAAACCAAAATGGATAATAATCTTTTAAATATCTTGATAGAGTTGCAACTTACACAATACGTGCCTATTTTTGAAAGTAAAAGAAATTTTTAAAAGTAATTTTTTAGAAAATTTAAATAGTTTTGAGGTTATGCTATTTAAAAATTTGTTTTATTACGATTTTTATTTATTTTAATTTTATTTGAAAATTTATTTAAAATAAATTTTCAAATTTAGTGAATTATATGTTTTGCGCATAAAAATATTATTAAAAATAGATTTAGTTGATTCATTCAAAAAAAATTAAAATCAATTTCAATTTATTTATACTCAAATAGATGTAAATCATGGAATAACAAATTTTATTCCTTTTAATTTTATAGATTATATCTATGACATACAAATTAGATGATTACATTTTTATTATTTCAGAATTCTTTTTAAGATGATATTTTCCTCTTAAAATAAGAGTATCCTCTTAAATTAAGAGGAATAATTTTACATAGAGGAGAATCCTCTTAAACCTAGAGGACATCCTTTTGCAGCATATACTAGAGGAAAATATGCATTGAAATAAGAGGAATCCTTTTGAAACGAGAGGATTTTTTTTTCGGTGTAATTTTTGAATGCTCATAACTTCCTTAAAAATGCATCAATTTTGAAAGTCTTTTTTTCAAAATGTGTGTTTTTAAACGTACTTTTCAACAAAAAAATCGAAATTTTTTTTTTAAACGATATTATTATCAAATTTTTAATTTTTAATGATAAAAAGTCATTTGCCCGATAATGGGCAAACAATTTTTACAATATTTTCGGAACTTTTCAAAAATTTGTGAATTTTTCAAAATATTTCTGTTTTTTTTTAAACTACGTACTTTTATGTATTTTGATACGCTGATATCGAAAATCATACTAACAATACCCAATAATTTGATTTTTAGGGTGAAAACCATAAAAAAGTCCCAATATTAATGGTTTTTTCGTTTATTAGGTAAAATATGCAAAATTAAAAAAAATGCATCAGATATAAAAAATGTATTTTAATAAGATCTATAACTTTTTTTTGAACATTTTTTTTTTAATTTTGCATATTTTACCTAATAAACGAAAAAAACCATAAATTTTGGTACTTTTTTTTATGGTTTTCAGCGTAAAAATCAAATTTTTGGGTATTGTTAGTATGATTTTCGTTATCAGCGCATCAAAATACATAAAAGTACGTAGTTTAAAAATAAAGAAAAAATATTTTTAAAAAATTCAAAAATTTTTGAAAAATTTCGAAAATATTATAAAAATTGTTTGTCCATTATCGGACAAATGACTTTTTATCATTAAAACTGAAAAATTTGATAGTAATATCGTTTAAAAAAAATTTTCGATTTTTTTGTTGAAAAGTACTTTTAAAAATACACATTTTGAAAAAAAAGACTTTCAAAATTGATGCAGTTTTAAGGAAGTTAAGAGCATTCAAAAATTAATGGACAAGAAAATTCACCAATTTTCAAAATTTCATAACTCGAAAACGGCTTGCTAAAAATATTTGAAGAAATTCATGGAAGCTAGTCTCAATTAGTACTAAAAGAAAAAAAAATCTCAAAAAAATCGGAGATGCAATTGCAGATGGACTTACACTTTGGCGTGGAATACATCATATATACTATAGGGTATCTATTATTTTCCAGTTTCAGGATTAATTTTTTAAATGCTTGCAAATATTAAAATTATTAAAATTTTACCTAAATTTTGAAGTTATGTTCGTTTCTTGGTTAGGGAAATTTGAGGTTATGTTTGTCGAACACAGTCATGAATCCGGTGGCAATTCGATGAAGTAGTATAAGGAGCACTCACTACTTGTTAAGCATATAGGCCCCCTGCATGAGAATAAATCCGAAATTACATAACTCCGATTATGACGCCTCTAGCGGAAAAGCGGTGTACTTAGAAGTTTTCAAAATATGGCTGCGCCTAGTGACAGCTGTTCTCAATAGTAAACAGTGTAAAGTGATATTTATAATAATTTTAGAAAAAGTGTACAAATTTTTTATCTCAATAAAACTATTTGACTTGACTTGAAAAGAAAGAAAAAAGTTACACACAAAAATTTTAAATAAAACATAAATTTTTTGAAAATATATTTGAAAATTTGGTAAGTTTTTGCTTATTTATATATATACGAATATATAATTTAGATTTTTAAAATATTTGTTTTCAATTATGTTTCATAATGAAATAATAAAGGAATTACAATAATTTGTTGTAAGTTATATATATATATCTTAATTTCTTAATTATTTTTAGGTTATGTTTACATGTTAACAAAAAAAATATAGTGACAAGTTCAGCAAGTATTTTGTTAACATTCAAATACATACAAAATAATTTGTATCAAGTAAAGTTGCCTGTGTTAATGCTGATTCATTGATCAATTTAGCAGCCTCATTTTTCACTTTTTTATTTATAATTACACAAAATTAACTCGCATCAAACACATTTCAAAAAAAAAAAAAAACGCCAACTGACAGTTACATACAAACACTTATATAAGTGACCTGTAATTCCTCGCTTTTCCGCTAGAGTTGTTAGTATCGGGGATATGTAAATGCTTCTATTAAATCTGGAATGGCTGGGGAAGAATTTTCAAAAACGGCCTATAGAGTGGGTGCTCCTTATACTACTTCCTGGTTTAGGGCCAAAGTACCAACAAACCTAAAAAAAAATAACCTAAAAATTAGGTCAATTTCTATGTCAAAAAACCAATATAATCATGCGCCCACTTAAAAATAATTTTCTCGTATTTTTAACAAAAAAAAAAATGTAATAAAAAATAGTAAAATATGTTGTAGTGTCAAAGTGTAAATAATTTGTAACATTTTTGAATAATTAAAATTTGTGTATTTGAATAAAAATTACAATTTTCTGACATTAGAAAACAATTGAGCTGCCGGATCAAAGAAGGGCACATAACTAATGTAATTCAAATGGGTTATGTGCCCTTCTTTGATCCGGCAGCTCAATTTAGATAACATAAACTAAAATTTGACGTTTATTTCTCAAAAAATTTTTATTCAACGAGAAATAGAAATAGAAATAGAAAAGAAAAATGAAACTAAAAAAGAAAATTAGATTTGCTTCTACATTTGATAACTACGACCTGTATTACCGGAACGTTTCTCTCTAGCGCAAGTCAAAAAAAAAATAAATCATTTTGAGAAAAGTGGGGGTATAGAGACCCCCAAAAAATTTTTTAGTTATTTTTGATATCGGAGTGGTTTCCAATGTATTTTCGTCCGCTAAACACGATTCCGGGTTCTAAAATTGTCTAGTACTGCAGAATTTTGAGAAAAGTGGGGGTAAAAAGAACCAAAAAAAAATTTGTTGAGTCGAATTTTACTAGCCTGTATAAACAGCAATTAAAAAAATTAAAATCCCATGAATTTTAAAAATTTCCGTCTGCCACATTAGATCCTTTGAATTTTCAAAAACTAACATCATCTGAAATTAGAAACTACGTAATCATGTGTTTCTTTAAAAAACAAAAAAAAAAAATTAGAAATTTTTAAAAAATTTTGCTTATAATTTTACTTATAAATTAATAAGTCACATTTTACCTGCTGCTATCGATTTTGTTTGGATATCTGCAATATAAAAAAAAAATATATATATAGGTATATTTTTTATCTAATTATTTTTTATCTCTTGTTCTCATAATATTCAATATACATCTTAACCAGTTGTTTCGTCATAACAAGATCTATAAATTCGATGAATTATTTACATATTATAAAAAGTAAAATCAGATTGAAATAATCGTGAAAATAAATTTGTCGATTTTCATTAAAGCGATATCTATTCTTTCCTTTCGTCGCACGGGTTGTTTCAACAATCTCATAATATACGTGTATGCAAATTAAGGTTATATACATCCACACACACACATATACATTGATATCATTCATTTATTCAAAGCGCGTTCACGTTATATACACTTATTTATTTTCTATTTATTTTTCACGTGTGCAATGTCTCAGGCCTTTGCCATATATTTCTTTGGCAATGATATTAAGACGCGCTATTATGCGCTTTGCGATTCTTGACAGAAATGCAAAGCAGATTATTTATATATATATATATATACGCTATGGAAATTTTCTTTGTAAACACACAAGTTGACTATACTTGAATGAGCTCAAATGTTAACTTGTCGGTGCAGTCACCCTATATATATGTATTGATTATGAAAAACTGTGAATCTTGGTTGGTTCTTGAATCTTGACGACGCGCTACGCAAGAGAGAAACGTTCCGGTAATACCGGTCGTAGTTATCAAGTGTAGAAGCAAATCTAATTTTCTTTTTTACTTCCACTTTTTTTCTTTTCTATTTCTCTCTCGCGTTAATTTTTCTTTTTTTTTTTAATCTCTCACATCGAATTCTTATTTTCCAGATTCAGAAAAATAAATGCAATTTTTTAAAATGGACGAATCGGATGGACAGTCAAAAAGAAAAGTTTCTCCTTCATATTGTTCTAAATTATTATCTAAATTGTTTTCTAATGTCAGAAAATTGTAATTTTTATTTAAATACACAAATTTTAATTATTGAAAAATGTTAAAAATTGTTTACACTTTGTACTACAACATACACTGAAAGAAATTT